CGTCATTGTTGTTTGGCGGGTCCGGGCTGGGGATTCGAACCCGCCACCTTAGGTGTACGTGGCTGGCGCCTTAGCCGGTTGAGCTATAGGTGCCGAGCCACCAAACTGTTTTCTACAGCAGCTGTACCATTCTGCATTCCTACCAGTAACGTATAAGGTTTCCAATTTCTCCACATCCTTGCCAAAACATGTTATTTTCTATTTTGTAAATGACAGCTTCTACGTGTGGGTGTGAAGTGTTATCTCTTTGTGGGTTTTGTGCTTTTCTAATGATAGATGATATTAGTATCTTTCCATTTGCTTATTGGTCATTTGTATATCTTTAAGAAAAATGTCTATTGAAAATTGGTGGAAACTTGTTGATCATTAATCTATTAATGCTTATCTCACTGTTTTTTTTTTTATCCTGTAGATATACCCTTTTTTATGATAATGATCTTCATTATCGTTTTAACAATCTTAAAAGGGAGAGTAGACAGTATTTCTGCCGTGTTTAAGTGGAAGTCCAAGGGGTGTATGTGTATATAGTTCACTATTATATGTCTTATAGTAGAGCTTATGTAAATATAGACACAGAATTTTTGAGGTAGTTTAGAATCTAGAAGTAATTTAATACCCTTTATTCATTTTATAGCAGAGGAAACAGGCTGGGATAGGTTTAGTGGCTCCTTGGAGACTAAGGTGCGAGGATTACTTGAGGCCAGGAGATTGAGGCTATGATGTGCTATAATTGCATCATTATTATCATTATTTCATAACTGATCACAATTCTGGTCGACTGAGTAAGAGCCTATCTCTGAAAAACCCAAAATACATAAAAATAAATAAATAAAAGAAACAGGCTTAGAGAAGTTAGGTGTTTTGCCTATTCATTATAGTTTTTTTTTTTTTTTTAAATCATTTTTTCCAAGTCTTGAAAGTATGATGCTGGTATTTTATTTTATTTTTATAGTTTTTATTTTTTTTTGCAGTTTTTGGCTGTGGCCAGGTTTGAACTCGCCACCGTTGGTATATGGGGCTGGTTCCCTACTCTTTTGAGCCACAGGCACTGCCCCGCCTTTGATTATAGTTAACCATTAAACTCCTGAGCTCAAGCAATCCCCTCACCTTGAGGTGGAATCTCTCTCTTAACTCTCGTTTTGTCTTATACCATGCCACAGTAACTGCCTTTATTTCTTTATTTTTTCTTTTGTTTCCTTTTGTGTAGACATGTAGTTGTTTTTTTTTTTTTTTTTTTTT